AATTAAATAGATTAATGTGAAATATAACATGCTCTTTAATAAAGCCATGAAATGAAACGTTCTTCTTTTGAGTTAACTTGTTAATTGGATAAACTGATAATTGTAAACCCAACCCCTTTTTCACGATTGCATGTCAAAGAAAGTAACATTTAATTAACATTTCTCTTACGATATCAACATTTCATTTTATTTGTAAGACAACACTATTTTCCTACTTTCAGTTATAGATTGACGATGTAAACTGTTTCTAGCTATGCTAAATATATAATGATGTACCACGTGATCCCAAACCTTCAGAAAGGGTTTCACATTAAATACAAACTTCGATATAAGAATAAGAAGATGTGGCATGATTGCCAATAAGACAACTCTCCACAAAAGACCAAATGACATAAGAATTAAAAACTATATGTCACCGTACGGCCTTCAACAATGAGCTAAACCCATACCTCATAGTCAGCTATAAAAGACCCCGAAATGACAAATGTAAAACAATTCAAACGAGAAAACTAACGTACTGAATTCGATGTCTACATTTGTTGTTGAAGTTCATAAATTCTGTGTTCATATTTACCGGTATCACAAGATAGGAAAAAATCACTTCTTTTCACAGCTTGGAGTTTAATATTAACATCCCTCGAATGCTAACGTCAATTTATACATGAATGAGACAAAAATTCAATACTTTACATAAAACCCAATGCAAAACAAAAGGGAAGGAAATATCTATATATTTATTTAGTTTCCTATTATATGTACTATATTTGTCGATTAATTGATTTTTTTTATGCTATGATCGTGGTGCTTTCAGTCCTTCGATTATTGATTGTCCTACTGGTACCTTCTTATTTTTTTTTATTGAAATGATATTGACCTCCTTATTTTTGTCCCCCACGCAGCGCGTTGCGGGGGACATAGAAACACCGGGCGTCCGTCCGTCCGTCCGTCCGTCCGTCCGGTCTTGTTAGCGGCCTCACGTGTTCAATTCTTGCCAGATTTTTATAAAACTTATAGGTTTATATCAGCAATGTCTTGGACAAGTTCGAAAATAAGTGCCGATCATTAATTTTTAAAAAGAGTTATGCCCCTTGGAAACATTATTTATATGGAAAATTGCATCGTTAGCGCTCTCATTTGTACAATTCTTGCCAGATTTTTTATGAAACTTATGTCATAGGTTTATATTAGCAATGCCTTGGACGAGTTCGTAAAATCAGTGCCGATCAATTATTTTTAAAAGAGTAATGCCCCTTGGAAACATTAATTATATGGAAAATTGCATCGTTAGCGCTCACATGTGTTCAATTCTTGCCTGATTTTTACGAAGCTTATATCATAGGTTTATATCAGCAATGTCCTTGACGAGTCCGAAAAGCAGTGCCGATCAATTAGTTTTAAAAGAGTTAGGCCCCTTGGAAATATTGATTATATGGAAAACTGCATTGTCAGCGTTCTCATGTGTACAATTGATGCCAGAATTTTATGAAACTTATATCATAGGTTTATATCAGCAATGTATTTGACACTTTCGAAAATAAGTGCTGATCAAATATTTTTAACGAGTTATGCCCCTTGGAAATATTAGCTATAATGGAAATCACATTGCATTTGCTCTGAAGCCTTTATTTCTGCTTTTTTTTAGTTAATGCCCTTGTACCTTGGCTAGATAAAATATGTGCAACTTGGGGGACATTTGAACTCTGTTCTTTTATTCTTATTGAAATGATTACTTAGATTCAATATAATATGGTCTTTGCAAGATAACAATAGTTGTTAGTTAATACAATTTATTATTATGTGATATAGGAAATGATGATATTAAATAACATAAATTTTGTTTTTTGTTGTTGGGTTCCTGTATCACTGACGTACATCATTGACGTATACCCCTGATTTCTTTTTATTCCTGTGTATTTAAACTATTTCAAACTAATCATCTTTTCGTTTAAAAAATTTCAAGGTTCAACCGTTTAAGCGATTTATTAGGCGATAAATGCAAATATTCATTTAAGATGATAAATTGTCATAAAATTGCTTTTACTTCTCTCACAAATTTAAGTTAGTCTCCTATTAAGTGTCGTAATTCATTGGTTTTAAATATGTGAGGAATTCTTAATGTAAGTAATATCATTTTCAGTTATGACTGAGTTATAATAATTTAACATACAATGCAGCGACGTCTTTCTCGCGGGCTTGAAATTTATGTTTATATTCTTATATAAAAATGATTTTATTATACATACAAACAAAATTTCATGAATAACAGATATGAAATACCGAACCAAATATGTAAAAGTTTAATCCAGACAACAAAATTAACGAAACAGATGAACGTGAACGACCCACTCCCCGAAAAAAGCCGAAAACAAACCAAAACAAAACAAATTAAATAACCAATAAAAACCAAAAACCAACAAATAAAAAAAAAAAAAAACTCAACAAAAAATGGCATTTCGACCTACCATAAAACCCGGGAGTGATTTTGATGTTTTTCTGCTTTGTATCGATCTGATGAGTTAAGCCTTTTTTCAACTGATTCTTATAGTTTGTTCTTATGTTGTGCTGTTACACCACTGTCCCAGGTTAGGGGAGGGTTACGCGCTAACAAACATGTTTAACCCCGCCACATTCTTTATGCTCATGTCATAAGTCAGGAGCCTGTAGTTCAGTGGTTGTCGTTGGTTCATATCTGTCATATTTGTTTTTCGTAAATTGTTTTGTTATAAATTAGGCCGTTAGTTTTCGCAATTGAATTGTTTTATATTTTTCATGTCGGTGCCTTTTATAGCCGACTATACGATATGGGTTTTTCTCATTGTTGAAGGCCGTACGGTTGCCTATAATTGCTCACATCCACTTTATTTGAACTTTGGTGGATAGTTGTCTCATTGGCAATCATACCACATCTCCTTATTTTCATATTGAGGCTTCTTCACGAAAAACAGCCGGATAACCGACCAATTTTTTTTTATCAAAGCGTCTAAAGACTCAAATTCAGTATGGGATAAAATTTTAAAATAAGCGTCTATTTATGACACAATCCCTTGATAACCAACAAAATATTACTCTTGGCCACCGTAAAACTTTCGTAAAAATGATATATCAATTTAGGATATAAATAACCCAATTCTCTGCTTATTTAACCTTAGCCCATAGGAGAATCCGAGATCATTAGCGGATGATTATTCCATTACTTGTACGCTTCAAATTCGGATAATATCTCTTTAAAATGAAGTTTTTGAGGTTGGTGTAATTTCATTTTAGAATCTATAGCATTAAATCGAACACTTATGGATGTCACAGAGTCAATATGGCGGCTAACTCCTTAGTTACGACATGTCAATTGTGCATTTGATGGTAAATAGAAGCCAATAAACAAAACATTGTTCATTAAAAAATGCGAATGTTTGGCTTAAGAATTATAAGGATTAAACACATTTTTTCTAGAGGTTATGTATGTGTAGACTGGGTCGCTTACTCACAAACTTTACACTTTTATTTAGTTTGTGAGTTAATCTCCCCAGTTTACACATCAATAACCTCTAGAAAAAATGTGTTTAATCCTATAATAAGTAGAAAGCAAACTCATACAATCAATGTATGTATAAATGTGCAAGGAAAAAAAAACATAGGCGAGGTAATATTAAAAAGGCGTTTCCACTTTATGCTAAACCTTGAGTTGGCTTCCGTTGCAAGGGTTCTGTCTTGTGTAAATAGATATCAGGTAAGATTGACCGATGGTTACTTACGTCCAGCAGCAAATATCTATATTCAAGACTGTAACAGGTTAATGAATTATAACCTGCTTTGTTCCAGATCGTCATGCTGAGTCGGATTTTCACCAATTTATTAGGTAACAGTTCACAGCAAGACATATTATATAGACATATATTCTATACAGGAAAATTACTCCGGATACAAGTAGACATGTCCTGGCAATCACTTCTAAATGCCGATTAGGGTTAGTCTGTTATAGTTTGTATTTGCCTTCAAGATATATTGACATGATATTCTCTAGGTATGAACAAATGAAGAGTTTTCGATGTATTGAAGGAATATGTACATAACTTTTATCAACCAATAATCATATTCAAAATCTTGTTTTCAATTCATATTCAGTTTGTAACGACATCAATAAATCGCACGAGAGATGCCTCAACCTTAGATTGTTTTGGCTATAATACATCGGTTTTAGGCCCCTTTTGGTCTTAAAGATCATCACGTATTCAAGCAGTTTAATTAAGGTAAATCCAGAAAAGTGCTCCGAACGTATCAAAATAAAAAAAAAATTAATTTGGTATACTATATAAATGTATAAATCAAGTTTAAAAAAATATGGCCCAAGCAAAAATTAATGTGGACCTAACTCCGAAAATAATCACTTCTGTGACAAGGGGTTTATTTGCCTCAATTTTGACAAAATTGAAAAAAAACGGACTAGGTAACAGAGAGGCGAAATATAACAAAGGGACATTAGAACTCATTAGTCAAAAACAAACTGGCAATGTCAAAGCACAAAAAACGAAAAATTATAAACAACAGTATACAAAACATAACATAGAAAACTAAAGACTTAGCAACAGGAACGTAATGTTTTCGAAGGGATGATTTCAATTTCACCACTTGGAACTGTGGTTAAATAGCTCAATTAGAAGCAGCAACTCTCTATCAAGAAAATCGTGATAGCAAATATAAGCTCTGGAATATCGTATCAACTGGTGAGATATATACTCCATATGCAGGTGCTGCTAGAATGTTACTACATAGAAATGGAAATTTCATAATTGGGAAGCTGAAATCATCTTCGTTTGTCGTAATAAAATTTTGTAGTATAGTTGCAATAGGTCATTGGCTTATTTTTCAAGTCATTTATTAAACTTTCTTACAAAACTTGTTACATTATAACAGTGATATGATATATAATTAACAGGAGATGCAATTTTAGATATTAATTACTTTACATGTATATTACATTATCTATGGAAATAATTTGACACAAATATTTTGAACACATTTATTCAACAGATATTACATGATTGTCATGAATGTTAGATGAAAATTAAAACAAGTTTGCTGAATCAACATGACAACTTTTGATCGACAATATCAATAAAAATAAGGCATGCATGCATAAAGACAAAAATCTGCAAAGGGTGTTGACATTGTGTCTTGGGACAGAACATTCGACACCGAGAAAGGCAATACACAGATGTTAAAGTATCAACACCCGACATCGAGAAAGGCAACACACAGATGTTAAAGTATCAACACCCGACATCGAGAAAGGCAATACACAGATGTTAAAGTATCAACACCCGACATCGAGAAAGGCAATACACAGATGTTTAAGTATCAACACCCGACATCGAGAAAGGCAATAAACAGATGTTAAAGTATCAACACCCGACATCGAGAAAGTCAATACACAGATGTTAAAGTATCAACACCCGACATCGAGAAAGGCAATACACAGATGTTAGAGTATTAACACCAGACATCGAGAAAGGCAATACACAGATGTATAAGTATCAACATCAGACATATTTTTTTAACCCAAAACTACAATATAATTGATCAATGGTCATTGAATGCAGCTTGTACAAAATGATGTTGGATCAGTATGGAGCTAAATAATTGAAAATAAACGTTTTCAGAATTACATGTATTTACTGGTTATTTGAAAGTTTTTCTAGAAAATACATAAAAGGAGGGAACAATCATTATTTCAAATATCACAACTACTAGAAGAGAAAACAACCAAGACTACCAACATGGTTCCCGTTAATTGACAAGATAAAAAGATAAACATTCAAAAGTATAAAATTCTATCAACTGGATATGGAGTACCTTTATTCCTGCAGTCTTCTTTACAATACAGAAATAACGCCGAACACTAAACCTTATGAATGTACGTGATAGAGGTAGATAGGAAACAAAGTAACAAAGTATCGATATGTTGCTACATGTAACAAGTTCGCCATTTTATCAATTATGCCCTATCGATATATTAATTTGCCCTTTATTAAAACGTATTTCGTGATGATGATGAACTCTGTGAAAAATGGAAATGGATGATTCTAACATTCACAACCACTAGTGTTTTATGCTTAGCATAAACTTTTATATAATACCAATACATTTCAGATATACTTACTTCATAATAGGTTTATTCTCGTTAAAGAAGTGATAATATATATGAATAGTTATGTTAAAACATTCATACCCTGTTGTTTCATAAACAAAAATCAGATTACATTTATTATTCTAGAGTTCAATCAAATAAAGTAATAAAATCGCAATAACAAAGTCTAAAATTCAAGCACAACATGTCCAAACGAAACTTTTCTTCTATTTAAAATTGTGTTGTTCTTGATTGTTCCAAAATTTAGTTTCATGGGGTATACTATGATCCAAATGCAAAAGTGAAAAAAAAAATATATATCTGTAGAACTGTTGAACCAAATCGGATCTAAAACTATTAAACAAAGTTATGCTCGAGACTCAATTCTGCAGCTTTTCTTGTAAATTATAGGTAGAAGTGTTGTTCCAATGATTGACTGCTATTACCTATTAATTGAAAAGATGCGATCCGACCATCTAATGAACATTATTTAAAAAGGGTCTCTTGAACATATTTACTGCAGCGTTTTAGACTACAACTGGCATCCAAGAATAAGTTGTTTGAAAATCAATGAATTAGATGAAAAATCACCAAATAGAAAACTAACAGAACTCTTATTGTTATAGGAGAAATTCTCTAAACATCCATTCGGCGAACTCAGAAAAATTATACTTGACTAGATAAAGAATAATGGAAACGTAAAAAACAAAGCATGTACTAAAATAATCACTTAACGCTTCAAATAACCATAATTATACACATTACTGTACATTGTATAACATTTATAACTGCGACTGTGTAGCTACTTTCTAACCATGCATTCATAATATATCCCTACACTTTTATCAACGCATATAAAGCACTTTAAAGTGGTTTGTACACAAAATTACAACTTAAGTATTATATAATGTTTCTATCATGACTAAGCTCGGCGAGGAAAGTTTGATTACTTTTCCACATTGTAGTATTAAGTCAGCACTAGCATAGTAATATCACAACACTCATTCACAATGCTGTTTTAATCCTTGAACTAACTAGACCTTCCTCACAGTAAATGAACACTTTATGTATATCCTCATGAATGAGTTCTGTTGTAATGTGTTTTATGTTCTCGCTTCTTGCAAGATCGACAACATGCAGTCTTGTAGAATGGATAATCACAAAGTTCAATTTTTGCTTGTGGAACTAATTTACAGTTTTGTAGTTTGTCTATACAAGTTGGATCTGTAATAAAAAATAATATCAAAATTTATCATTTATACTCTGAAAGAAGGAAGACATGTTTGGTTTGATCATAAGTGTTAAAATTTTGGTCATGTTCACAACTATTTATTATTCGACAATCTCCGCGTCGCCAGTAAAACTGCATTTGCGCTACGACCGTCAAATCCCAAATTGACGGTGGCAACTCTCAAAAACAGTACTGTTATTCCTTAAATCGAATTTGCTCTTCATTAGTGAAGCAAAAATGTAAGAATTTACAAAGTTAAAGATAACACCATAGCCAAATGAAAAAAGTACGAAAAGAATAAAAAAAAAATCTCTAAATACTCTACATTGAAAACTAATGATTCAGAAACACGAGTTCAAACAAAACCTGGGACTAAACTCGTGTGCTACGAAACGGTAAACAGTCCTGTTAAACTCGTGTAGCTCGCACCAAGCATTGCTTAGAATGAATTAAATATGGATGGCAATTTCACAAATAAAGTAAGGACGATATTGTGGCTACGACCAATGAAGCATATCCATGGTCATATGTGACAAAAATTTAATCGGTCAAACAAAACAGTCAAACTTTATAGAAGAGCATTAAGAGTCCTTGGTACAGCAAGTTCTCTGCAAGCAGCATCCGCGATGACCTTCATGTATTCTCTTTACTAAATGAAAATAAATGTTACTGTTGGCATAAGTCAAATGGAATGATGATAGTTTTCTAATGAACATCATTTCAAATACCTGGAGTCAAATGCACCAGAAACAGACAGAAACATTTTAATTAAAATGTTGCTTTTGATGTTTTCCAATTCATGTATTGTTGTCGTGATATATATTTTTGATTCCACATTTAGAGAAGTTTGATAGTTCTGTATTGTCGACCTAATATTTTTCAATGTTATAAACACCATTGGTTAAATAGAGATACTAATAGGACTTACCTTCATCGAGCTGTGGAAGGTCACATGAATCAGTATTACAAACATGACGTGTAGTCGGACGGTGATCTTCAGAACAAGTAGAACTCGGACTTAAATCTTCGTCCAAACACTTCACCAACCTTGATTTTGTTCCGGCATCACATGATTTTGAACACTAAAATAAAATTTAAACATGTCAGTCATAAAAAAAGAAGATGGAAACAAAAGAGAATATTAAAGCACGATTTCTTTTGAATTAAAAAGCTTAAAATTTACCAAATTATTATTTATTTATTTATTATTTACTAATTATAATTTTGAAGTAAAAGATTAAAGTTTAACATTGGGTAGATGTCTTTATTTCAAGCAGTCGACATAATGTTTCCTCTCTTTAACTGAAGTTTTCGTACTTTTCTATGAAAAATGCAATAGATTACAATGACAATGGAACACACATTCAAAATAAGATATAAATATCTATCTTACCTTTGACCAAGAAGTCATAAACCACTCCGCTTGACAAGGCGGCAAATCTTTGCATGGTTTAGTTGTTGTTGGTTTTTGTTTTGATAAACAGTTTTCATCTCCCACCACAGTGATGAGCTTTTCTCCTAATTTTTTCATGCATATTACATCCCTTTTCTTCCTTCCATCTCCGCACGTCGCAGAGCACTGTGTAAAAGAATTTTAAGAAAAAATATTACATTATGCGTAACACATTTACCATACTGTTTTGCTGATTCACTTATTTTTTTTTTATATCAAGCAACAAATGTGTGATTTTTTCCCTCCAATTACATGTTTTTTATGAGGAAATGAGACGGTTAGATTGTTTCAATGACTATGAAAGTGATCAAAATCGTTATTTCGAATCAACTATTTAAAATAATTGTTAGTTGCTTTTAGGGGATTTTTCCTCCTTTATGAAGAAACAAATTGGTTCATGCATAGTCATTTTTATCTTAATAGTATTCACTTTTCACTTTAACCGATAGCAAAACGACCCATTTGAACCTGCCAGTGATTGTAAGTGACATTTATGCACTAATGTACCTTTGACCATGGACCCGTAAACCATATACCGCCACATGGAATCCTATTGCGACATGGCCTCTTTTCCCGCGGTTTTGACTTGGAGCATTTGCTTTCAGGAAGTGGCGCACCGTCTGCTGCTGAACAGAAAACCTTCCTTGTTACGTATCCAGTGCCACAACTAGATGAGCACTGAAAAAACACATCGTTAAAACATTGAAGCACATATCATAAAATTATATCAGTTTAATCAACAACTTAGACATTTTATACTTTATATTTTGTTACGTCACACTAATCTGTAACAGCCTACGTGAAAACATGTTATTACTCGATTAAGAATTATTGTCTGCGCATATAAACATTTCTATGTCCCTTTAGAAATTATATACATACAAAACTACTTTATAGAAAAAACCCTCATTACCTTGAGTTTCCGAAGGTACATTAGAGTAAAGTGTAGACAAGTTAAAAAAAATTCAGACTCAAGAAAATTTTTGTCATCATAAAAGTATTTGGGATGAGCCCAACAAACAAATAATCGATTTAGTTGTTGTTACTTTGTTTTTTTTTGTCAAAATCAGTTGTTTTCTAACTTTTCACTACTACTTTTTTAGAATTTCTGACCAGTAAAAGAGGCGAGGGCAAAATCATACTAGAGAAAGTGCCAATAATCTTACTTGCCTTCCTATTATACACCCCTTTCCCCGCAAAAATTGCATTATTATTTATTTCATGTATCCCATGAAAACCGCTCACCTCAAGAACGTCAAGTAATAATCACAAAAAATCAGATCGTTGCTTTTTTTCCTATTTTCATCACACTGGACCAAATGCAGAGGAATGTTGTTAATCTGCATTACTTTTTGATAACCTTTGCTATAGGGGTTCATTATGTTGAAAATTCGCCATCCAAAGTTTCAATTTCATTGGATGTATACTGATTGATACTTTAGTCTTGGAAAACATGATTTTGTTGTTTTAGTAATTGGCTTTGAACTAGCTTTAACTAGCTTTTAAAATCGGTTGTTTGTATCGTTTGTGTTCATGTTAGTTGTTTTTGTTTTGCTTCGTACCACTCTGATGAGCAGTTTTATTTTGTTGTGCTGTTATACCACTGTCCCAGGTAAGAGGAGTATTTGGTGCTCATAACTATGTTAAACCTCGCCACATTCTTTATGGGCCTTTCTCAATTCAGGAAAGCTGTAATACAGGGGTTGTTATTGGTTGCTGTTAGTCATTTTTGCTGTTTTTTGTTTATTGTTTTGTCATCAACCGGGTTGGTATGTTTTTCTTCGTTTGAATTGTTTTTCAATTTGTCATGTCTGTCCGGGCCTTTTATAGTTGACTATATGGTACGGGTTTTGCTCATTGTTGAAGGTCGTACTGTGGCCTGAAGTTACTTTAATTTACGTCATTTGGACGTTGGTGAAAAGTTGTCTCACTTGCAATCATACAGCATCTTTTTATTTTATCTACCGATAATTTTGCCTTCAAAGACTAGTCAGCAAAAAATTTACATCTGTTATATTTTTTATCAAGATATTAACATCTATAAAGTACCTCTTACTACTTTCTTTATCCTCTGGGTTTGATAAAAAATTGTCTTATTAAAAAAATTGGGGCAAGATTCATCATAGATTTATTTTAAAATTTCACCGTAAAAGCACCCTGGAGAAAATATTGTCGAAATGTATATATTTAACACACAAGTAGGTAAAATTAACAATTTAAATGGAAATCTTATTTATCATTTCGATAAATCAATTAATAAATTATAAGTTATCTTCTTTAAAATCAGATAGAAATCGCACAGAAAACATAACTTTATGACCGAGAGATAGATACATATGACACGGCGGTAATAGAGCACCTGTCTTCAAGCTTAAGGGTGTAGTGCACGCATTCTTCAGAAACAAAGATGATTTTAAATGAAAAATGATTAAAAGAGACAAGACATATTTGTATTTGTCTGATGTTTTTGTAACTTTTATGTGGTCACATTCAAAGCTATCAAATAAAAATACTTTGTCAAGTCATATTATAAAAGGAGGTATCACTATATTATATATCATAATATATCAAATATTAAACAATTTAATACTGTTTTAATCCATACCATTTTGCTATACAAAGGGTGACGTAAAGTCATTTATATCAGTTATCTTCATTTATGTATACAACCATAAGATGTAATTAAATACTTCTCAAAATTAATAAAGTACTATAGTTCAAAAAAAGATACCACAAAAAAGTATCAAAAAAGTTTTCGAGTAATACTACGACACTTTAAGATGTCATTAAATAAGTAAATATAAAATATATATAAAATAAATATCAGTGGATTTGAATATGTGTCCATTAGACCACAACCCAGCAACACAGTACAACAGAAATCTCATATTTAATGAGCAATATACGTTTCAAAAGCTTACCCGTCTTGACCACTTTGAGTAAAACCAACCAACTGCACAAACACCCATATTACAACTCTTTACCGTTTGTGGTTTAGAACCTATACAAGTTGACTCTGTAGTATTTTGGCCATCTACATGCTTGCAGTAAACCTCTCGTTCCTGCTGTCCCCGACCACAATTCACAGTACACTAAAAAACCGAACTATCATGGTAAAATATTGTTACAATGTTATTTGCAACAGCGTTGTACTTACATTTTAAAAAAACTTTCTACAAAATGGTGATTATATGTCTTTTTGTAACCAAAGTGACTTTTTTGATTTGTTTTTTTTTCGCAATGTTAAATTTGTAAAGGATACATGTTGGTTAAATGATACGTGGAACAAATATTTCTTTAAATGATTACCTTTGTTATAACGTTTGAAGTTGTATTCAATTTGCTTGTAACAAGAGGATAAAAGTTCTTTCAATTTTTTTAGCTTTTGAAATAACATGATTTGCATATTTTGTTAATTTAATTTTAAAATGTATACACACACCGGTTTCTTAAACTATTAAATGACCAAAATAAAAGATGCGGCTAAAAGACGGTTTATGCATTTTGTGTTTTCCCCTTTTTAGTAAAAACTGATTAAACTTCAATGAAAACAGTTTTGAAGGCATTGATATTTATAAAAACCTTTCCCCATTCCCCATTAGTCCATTCAGCACAAAGTCTTGTGTTGCAACTCCTTGCTGATTCCGGCCTGGTTCTTGAATCGCATCGAGAAGTTGGGACGTCTAAATGTAGCTCAGAATCTATCAACTGTTTGCACAGCACTGGTCTTGTCTGCATCCCTTGTCCACAGCTTGCACTGCAATCCGACCAGTTACCAAACTCCCAACTATCAAAACAAAAGGAAAGGAAACTAATTTTACTACACTTGCCCACAATGTATAAAGTAAAATAACAAAAATACCAAACTCCAAGGAAAATTTAAAACAGAAACTTCCTTATTAAATGGCAAAACCAAAAGCTCAAACACATCAAACGAATGGAAAACAACTGTCATATTCCTGACTTGGTACAGGCATTTCATTTCCTTGTGTAGAAAATGGTGGAGTAAACCTTATTTTATAGCTTATATATCTCTGATGCATGATTTTCATTATTAATTGTTTTTTGCTTTTAATTAGATTTCAGTAACTGCGAGTACTCTCAAATCGTACTTTCGTGTTAATTTGACCTGATGATACAATTTGTAATGTATTTTTGTTATTTAATGTCTACTTATTTATTGTTATATCTCGTCCCACTATTTTTTAATATATACCACCTTTGATAAGTGTTTGGTATGAAGATAAACTTTTCACTTCTGTTCTCGTACTATGAACAACAAAATTATTTATTTTATAAAAAATATTTTCGTACTCCATGTATACCTTACAACAAAATTATTCTATTTACCAGTATACGTTATTTTATTTGGCGGCATTTTATCCAAGGTTATGATTGTCTTTCTGATTTTGTTTTACATCTCACCCCCTTCATTTATTAATTTTGTATTTACATTGTGTCATATATCAAATTTATTCGTTCAGTGTATGTTCACTTGTTTTTGTTAATATGTCTTTTGATTGAGTTAAGCCTTTTCAATTGATATTTTATAGTGTGTCTTTCTATGTTGTGATGTTACACTATTGTTTCAGGTTAGGGTGAAGGTTGGCGCCTATTAAAACGTTTAAATCCGCTGCATTTCTTTGGACCTGTCCTAAGTCAGTAACCTGATGTTCAGTGGTTGTCGTTTGTTGATGTGGTTTATAAGTGTTTCTCGTTTCTAGTTTTTTATATAGATTAGACTGTTGGTTTTCCTGTTTGAATGGTTTTACACTAGTCATTTTTTGGGGCCCTTTATAGCTTGCTGTTTGGTGTGAACCAAGGCTCCGTGTTGAAGGGCGTACTTTGACCTATAATGGTTTACTTTTACAAATTGAGACTTGGATGGAGAGTTGTCTCATTGGCACATCTTCTTATATCTATTGTACAAACTTTGCTGGTGAGATGCGCATTTCGACTATCAATGTCTCTTCAGTGAAGCTTAAGGTCATAATATTTAATTATCCAAAACAAAATTGGAACTTTGAGGAGCTGATGTTCGTACGACTTATTATAGTTCAACAAATAAGAACGAACATTTAAGAATTGCGTGTAGTAATTTCCCAACTACACTATACTTGAACATTACTGGATAGAATACATTTTTTACGTACACAGGGAAAGTATATGCGTGCAATTAATAAGAACAGACTTCTTTCTTGTTCCAATAAATAATTACCAACCTATCCGAAAACTGAAAATGGGCTGATATATATACTTACTTTGGGGGACATATTTTGGAATTGCATTTTAGCACTTGTGACTGTGGTTTCAATCGAGGATCGCAATTTTCATTAGTAACCATAACGTTGGTATCTTTTTTCAAACATATAATCTTTGTTTCCTGTGCACCTGTTAAAAAAACAAGAAATTACCAGTCATGGTACATTGCATTTGAATCTAATATTTCATACGATGATAAGCATGGAAACAAGATATATGAATACTGGTTATTGAAATGGTTTAATTGTTCTTATTCCTGTACTACCACTTTTGTTATATAAATAAATGACTATACAACTATCACAGTTACTCTTTGAACATTCATCTTTTACATTCTAAAGACTTTCGACTTAATAAAATCCCAAATTGCGATGAAAAATCTCAAAATGTTGACTTGTAAATCTTGACTTTTTTTTTCCTTTTTGCTTGAAATGTTGACTTAAAAATACAAAGTATCAACCGGGTTGTCCAAATATTTTCTGTTAATTGAACTTTTGAACTTTGAAAAACTCCGATTTCATTACATTAACCTTGAAAAATTGGTAGTATTAAATATTTCAATATTTTTGAGAAAGCTTTTAGAATTTAAGGGAATTATTCTATCACATTCACTTTATAATAGCAAGAATTATATTTTTTAGAAGATCAATCTATGAACTAAATAGACGTATTTACACTTGTATGCAAATTTGTCCGCCATTACGTAAAATCACACAGGTTCCCGTAAACTTTGACATCATTATTCAAAACATTTGACGTCACAATTAAAAAATGATTGTTGTCTGACGTCAAAAGGTGATTCGGAGTAGATCTAAGGTCATTCGGAGGCAAAATATAGCTAAATACCAAAAGCGTAAATACGTTTATTATAGATCTGTGATTTCGCTATTATACTTAAATCTCAGACGAGTACGCGAGTCACGATAGATCTGAATTTTATTCAGATTTTTAAAAGAGCATCTTTATCCCCATTGAGATAAATGTCACAGGAAGACAAAACAAAAAATTATTTCAAGTATTGTATAAAAAAAGTCATTTGCATCTAATATATTTTATTTTAATCGCTATAATGTTTTGCATATACTTTGTAACCAAGATGCTTGATTTCTTGATTGACAACACATTTGTTACGTTTGGAGGATGTGTTTTTCAACAGACAGTCGGAATTCAAATAGGATCAATTGTGCCCCTCTTCTTGCCGACTTGTTTCTTTATTATTATGAGGCTGACTTCATACAGGAACTTCTTAGGAAGAAAGATAAGAAGTTAGCAGTATCCTTTAACTTTACGTTCCGCTATATAGATGATGTTCTCTCACTAAATAATACAAAATTTGGTGACTATGTTGAACGAATCTATCCCGTCGAACTAGAGATACAGGATACTACAGATACAGTTAAGTCTGCCTCATATCTTGACTTACATCTAGAAATTGACAATGAGGGTCGGTTGAAATTAAAACTTTACGACAAAAGGGATGATTTCAGCTTCCCAATGGTAAACTTTCCATTTCTATGTAGCAACATTCCAGCAGCGCCTGCATACGGAGTATATATCTCCCAATTGATACGATATTCCCGGGCTTGTATTTCCTATATTGATTTCCTTGATAGAGGATTGCTGCTCACAAGGAAGCTATTAAACCAAGAGTTCCAAATGGTGAAGTTGAAATCATCCCTTCGTAAATTACGAACGCCATCACGAGTTGGTTGACCGTTATGGAATAACCGTTTCACAGATGATATCGGATCTGTTCCTTATGTCGTAACTACAATACTCTTCCCTTTTCACGAATGTGACCTACCGAATTAGACTACTTACCGGATTTGTAATAACATAAGCAACACGACGGGTGCCACATGTGGAGCAGGATCTGCTTACCCTTTCGGAGCACCTGAGATCACTTCCAGTTTTTGGTGGGGTTCGTGTTGCTTAGTCTTTAGTTTTCTATGTTGTGTCATCTGTACTATTATTTGTCTGTTTGTCTTTTTATTTTTGGCCATGGCGTTGTCAGTTTGTTTTCGATCTGTGAGTTTGACTGTCCCTCTGGTATCTTTCGTCCCTCTTTTGTATAAGTGATGAAATTTCGATTAAAATGGCTTATAGAATAAATATAAAAAAGTATTTGAAAACAAATTTAAAATATTAATGAAAATGATAATTGTGATGATCCAATAGGCTGATATACCATCATTTAGATACTGGGATGAATACTATATATATATATAAAAGAAAGAAGTTTAACACATACGTCAAAATATTTGAAAATACTAATATTGATAATATTATGCTTCATAGAACATCCCGTTAATCTCCCAGTGTTATTTCAAAGATTAACTCATATTCCTAACAGGGGGTAATGAGATATATCCTTCCAACTCTGATGACCTTTCCCTGTATGTTTATGTTCACATATCAAGAAAAGAATAAGAAAAGGTGAAAAAGGTCATAGCGATCTGTTCATCTCTTGTCAAACAAGATAAAAAGATGTCCCCTATCCTGTTGCACATCTCCACAGGTGCTAAATCACCTGTCCAGCTAGTTGATTAATTACACAATATATCTTGGAACTTAAGGGAAAAATTCCGTTGACTTAATATTTCTCCATGAACCTCATTGACTAGAATTTGATTATGAAATAGGTGCGCTGTACGTATGGCCTTTTTGCATCTAAAAAATGCAGAGTTTTTAAGACTTGTGCTCCTTCCCAGATTTCACCGGTACCTCGCTGGTCATATCATCTTTTGAACGATTTTTAATAACTTAATATATTGATATTTGCACTTGCTCTTTCTCTTTTGTTACTTGCATTAGTAAATGATTGTTAATCTTAAACGGTCATTTTGATTTTAACATCAGCTGAAAAATCTAAAACTGAAAACATTAAGTCTTGTTAAAAGTTTTAGTTGTTTTAACAAAAATTTACTTGTAGTAAATTCAGTTCTGTTCATACATTTTGTGTACAGTCAATCCAGTACCGTTCAGTACCTTATCAGATAATTCAGAACCATTCAGTACCTTAACAGTCAATCCAGTACCGTTCATTACCTTATCAGACAATTCAATATGTTGTTGTTTTGTACAGGTAAATAATTGCTACTGAACATATACTGAACAAATCTTCATTGAATGCACGCGAATTGTTTAAACATTTCACTATCCGTAAGACTGAACATGACATGCAAATGAGCTGTTCTGTTCAAATTGACAGTTTCAGTTCAAAATTAGTTTACTAGTGTCTGTAATATTATAGATATTCCCGAATAAATAACTTCTGCTACATTTATTCAAGTATGTCTAAATCAAAGATGTTCGGCGCTGGTGGAATTCAATATAACAACATTTTTATTATACAGATGTTTTCACTAAAGAATTGACAATATATCAAAGCTGTTAAAAAACTGAAGGGTTACGAATTATTGAGTAAAGCAGAAAACATCAAGGATTATCGCCTCTCAAACTTTAAATTTTTCAAATATTTATTAATCACAACATGATGCAAGAAACCAATAAAATTGAGAATGGAAATGGGGAATATGTCAAAGAGATAACAACCCGGCCAAAGAGCAGATAACAGCCGAAGGCCACCAATGGGTCTTCAACGCAGCGAGAAAATCCCGCTCCCGGAGGTGGTCTTCAGCTGGCCCCTAAATAAACATGTGTACTAGTTCAGTCAAAATGGACGTCATACTAAACTCCAAAACATATAAATGAACTAAAATTAAAAAACATACAAGACTAACAAAGGCCAGAGGCTCCTGACTTGGGACAGGCGCAAAAATGCGGCGGGGTTAAACATGTTTTGTTAGATCTCAACCATCCCCCTTTACCTCTAACCAATGTACAAAAAAGAAACACACAGCGATACGCACAGTAATGAATTTCTCAATAATTTTTAAAAAAACAACTAAAATACATGTCTGCTAAAATACATGTATTATCATTTTCTTTTTTACTTTAATTCACTACTTATTGATACACTTAAAAAATCATTTCTTTCCATACATGTAACACCAATTGATTTTTTTCCAGCAGATTTTTTTTATTTTTTTCTCTCTTTCAAATAGATAAAAAATGAAAACAACACTTTATAAATTTTATGCGTCCAAAGCGCTTTTCTAGATATACGTTTATCAGGAACTCTCAAAGCCAAATATTTGAAAGCAAATGGTGTATAAGAACCTAAATAGTCGAAGAGGCCAAAAAGGATAAAGGGTTATATTTTTGCTTTGTCCTGTTGTTTATGTGTCTAGCATCCTATATTGAAAAAGACAGAGCAATACGAACCCCACCAAAAACCAAGGTTGACCTCAAGCGCTCCGAAAAGGTGAGCAGTCTACGCGTCAGAAACAAAAGATTATAAGCCAATAGTTATTTACATTTCTGTATACGAACTCTGAAAATAGCAATAGCAATATGAATTCGGGACCTCTATATTCCATATTATTTCTTCTAATAAAACTCCTTAGTATTGTGAACTACCTTATTTAAAACGTAAACATTTAAACTCAGATTCTATTCAAACTAGACAAACCTAACTGGAACCCCTCGTGGGTAATAAACTAAAATCCGACAAAAATTTAAGAACAGTGGAAAAGAATTTTTAATGTGTAATTGAGCTGCATCATTTAAAATTCCAGTTCACATGTTAGTCAATACGACCATATAAATCATCCTTAAATAGGTCTTGGAACATCATTCATCATCATAAAAAGAAATTGCCATCATCGCTACCCGCCTAGTATAAATCCCACAGTCAATTTTGTTTAAAAATAAAAAAAAATGAAATATATCTTTCTTTTTAAACTAAAATTAAATTTGGTAAAGGGTAATCATTGATTATATCAGCTGTCATTTTGACAAGCAAGAACATTCTTTTGTATAGAATGATTAAGCAGGTCTGCATTAAAGGCTGCAGTAACATATAATGTATGTGTTTGACAGCCACAAGTGTGCTGTTTAGAAGGCAATTATCAAAATGTATGAAATTTGAACTATAAATTCTACCATCGATTTAAAAAAACATATAACACCCGTTCATATAACATCAATTGAACAAATATCATATATATATATTAAAAGAAGTAAAAAGGTCAAACTTTATAATTTAAAATCAGTGCAATATCTTAAACGTACATTTGGGGTCTACACAAATATCAAACATATGCATGGTTAACATGCTTTGCATTCTTCTTTGTTTATTACGCATCTCGGTTATACGTCAGAATGGTTTACAAAAAAACTGATATTTTCTTTTTTACGAAATTCAAACATAACTGCATGGGCTAAATAAAGTGTTATCTGACCGATTAAAGCGGATATCAGAATCCATACGGTTAATGGAAAATTACATTGTTTGAACAATATATAAAGGATGGTCACCAACTTGGTGTTTTGATACCGAACCGATACACATGTGATTGGGGTATGAACCCCCTTTTTACCGTCATGCGGATGTTTTCAATAATATCTTTATTTATCGTGTTTTTATTAGACTACAGTGTAATGCTGGAGATTATGATGTCCGGCTAGTTAGAAAGTTTTATCGGGTTTTCACAGACACTGGTTTTCGTCTACATTGTAGATCTAAGTTTTTAGAATATTCAAATTTTAATTGAAAACATCTTTTGAAGTTGTAGGCAAATATAAGATCTTCCAAAGTTTTACGGCCGCCATGACATACGTGCTTTATTTTTTTGTTCGTTTGTGTAGTGTTTTCTCAATAACGCATTTGTTCGGTATTTTGTATCCAGATGCAATTTTGTAATGTGACAAAATAGACTAACTTTAATGAAAATATAAAGACCATTCTTAATTAGATTTGGCAAAACATGAACAATTAAACTAACGATTAGAATATTCTGTGTATTTCATCTGACACTAGAATATGTAATTGAAGACTAAATTAAGTCATTGCCACACACGCAGACAATACAAGGACGGTACTAAACTTGTATTGTAATTTGTTTGTTGTCATATATCATAGACTTTCAAGTTCCTAATTATATATTTATATTATGTGAAGTTCAGGTGAACGGACACCAAGGTTTTCATCACAAAGAGTTCCTTCAACTCTAATATTTCAAGTCTTAACAAACAGTTAACGAAGCGGTGACAATTCTTTTGCTAGAACCAACATAGACTAAGAGGGAAAGAGGCACACATATTGTTGAGTTTCATAACTACTTAACTGTTTAAATTATGATACTAATAAGAGGGTACTCAGATCCAATCAAAACAGACACTTAAAATGAGATGGACATTTCGAAAAAAAAAAAAACAACAACAAAAGAGTGAGAATGAATTTAGATTGAATTATGAAAAACCAATGGAAGTCATTGTTAAAAACAGGACAACAAAAGTATTTGATAAGAGGCATTTATTTTAAAATCAACAAATATTGTATTATCAAATCACCAAATAGTGTTATATTTAATGGAATCTTTGATTTCATGTAGGTCATGGGCTTGATTGGAATAGCTGTTTGTGCAACCCCACCTCTCAATTAATCCTACTTTTTATGTCGTTTTATGTATCCTCTTCATAAAAAAGATCTTTACCGTAATTATTCTCATTGCAATATCAATTTTAAAGCTTTTTTTTAATACCAACTCGAACTTTTTTGCGGCGTTTTTTTCCGCAACGAGGTTTATTTGCATTTCTTTTAAAAAATACCAACAGTTCTTAAATAGATATCAATATCAAGATAAATGTCTTATCTACAATACACAGGCTTGTTTGGATTACCCTGAAAAGACTTTTCAATGAGCAAATATTTGCTTCTACGCTACAAAAAATAGAATATTTCTTTCCTTAAATTTTGAATTTTATAGGCCTTTATTTTCAAACTCGATCTTTTTGGAAACGTTATGATTTGGTTCTCCAACTTTTATCGTGAAGTTAATACGGAAATAAGTATCGACATACACGTTTGCTGAAGATAACAGGTAGATCTAAAACTAGTTTCAATTTAAATATGAGTATAGGAAACCAGTTTTATTTTTAATTTTTAATTTTGAAGTTGAAAGTAACAAATAAACATAAAGAAAATATATAGTTACATGATGAATTCTACAAAACTGAACTATAGAAACTATAAATGTACAATGTCTGTTTACCTACCTCCTCCACAAGTTCTTGAACATTCTGTAAATCCTGATATTCTCCAAAAATAGTTTTTACTGTCGGGTATATGGTTAGCAATTACTAAACGTGGTTTGTTTACAGTTTCACCAAGAGGTACGCCATTTGCACTTCCACCGAGTGGAATTCCTCCCTGGGATACGCTATTTGCCGATCCGCCAAGCGGTACACCATCTGCAGATCCGCCTAGCGGAATGCCATTACTATATACCGGATATCCCTTTTTACCGTAGAAACTCTCTTGCCCTAATGGGACATTGTTATTTCCTGACGATTGCTGACCGTAGTCGCCAGTAGCTGCCTGGTTATACGCTCCCAATCCTCCTGAATAAGAATATCCACTTTGGTCGACTTGTTGCTGTTCAGTTTTCGTTGAACTAACACGAGTATTGCCTGTATCACTATTTGTATTCCTTATATTATCATTAGTGCTGTAAGTGTTTTCAAAACTAGGTTTAGACTGAACAGCTGCTTGAGAATTGACATTCCTGGAGTTTTGGTTATTATTTACTTGTGTTCTATGCTTATGAAGTTCATTTGGATTCGTTATCATATGAACGTCTTTTTGTTTACTAAGATGTGCATTGCGATTAGATAATTGTGCACTAGGATTTCGTCGATTTTCTCTAAGATTAGGCACCATATTTTGCATAAAATAGTCTGTTAAATTATTCGGCACGGTAAATTGATACATTATACCTGTATTTACTTGGTAAAACAGCAACTGCAAGAAAAAAATCGATAAACAATTTCACACGTCTACATAAGATAAACAAGTTTATAATGGACCTGCAAATTGATGAAGGATTTTAACATTAAATTATACGCAAGACTGACATCGAAATGACACTAAATGACAGTATTTTGATATAGGTTTGGGATGATTTTGTCATAATTTCTAGACAAATATGTTCTGATCAGATAATACGGCCAGCGTTTTCCAAATGTGGCGTATTACATTAAGCCAGAGTTAATAATTTTTGTTGGCTTCTTCTGCCACATTTGAATATCTTTCAGATTCAAATTATTTGTTATTTATTTTTGGAACGGGGTGATCTTCGAAGCAAAATGTTACAAATTATATATGTAATGTTCTAAATTAAGTGTCTCAATTGTCTTCCAAGCAATCAGCAATGTATAGTTTTGAATAACATGTAATCTAAATAGATACATTGTCTATAAAAGATTATCACAAAATTTTAAACATATCATTTTGACATTTTAAATTAAGTTTTAGATTTCACTAGGTTTCATCAACTTTCCGATTTTGACGTTCTGATTGAAATATGTACTTGTGAAATTGACCATTCCGTTTAACTATAATGTACCCGATTCTCCTTCCTGACAAAGTTATAATCGTAAAAAACACAACTGCACATGTTATGGAGGAATTTATGGAGGAATTTATTTTTTTTTACCAATTTCCTTCTAAGTATTTAGACATTTAACATAAAACCGGCAAAGTCCGCATTCTGCTTTGGGAAACGCTCAAAGAACCACTCTGTTCAAAACAAATAATAAGCTGTAATTGGTGGAAACTAATTCTGTAAAACTTTAGTTCCCTTCAAACGTAAGTTATTTGACAATATATTGAAATGGCAAGGTACATACTTCGAAAATAACATAGATTAATATGATAGATGTACAATTAAATATTGTTCAAATTAGAAGCGACAGTTGTTTCTGATGTTCAAATCTCATAAATCTAAAACAAAATACAAATCAAGGTAAAACAACAAATACTAATGGAATCGCATGAGCTCAAGAGAGAGAGAGAGAGAGAGAGAGAGAGAGAGAGAGAGAGAGAGAGAGAGAGAGAGAGACAGAGAGAGACGTCTTGCAATGCAAATCCACACTCAGTTAAAATGCCATAACCGAGAATAAGACATAATGGGTATATTTACAGATGACTTTTCTTGTATCTAAGGATATAAGGCTTCAAAAATGTGTCGCTAGCGAGTGGAGACACAGACACATCGTAACAGTCAATCGTTGTTGGGACCGTAAAACTTATGTAGTGTCGATTTCGGTCTTTTATCCTCATAACTATGTTGGAGCAGATTTTGTACAAATGAAACAATCATGTTAAAGAAGTCCGTATAGTGTGAACATCATTAAGCGTAACGTAGTAATTGAGATATGTATACTTGATACGATGGGTCAGAGGGTATTCTACTGTTTAGAAATGGAGAGTTGGCAATTTGAAATTTGAAATCAATTGAAGTTTGTGATAGATTCTAGTATGTCAATATCGAGCAAAATATAATAAAATAAGAAATAGACCTTATGGTTTTGTAGTATACTTAATCCTATGTTCCCTATGGTATATGAGATACAAGCATTCACTGAAATGTGGGTTATTGAGTGACACGACATCATCAATATATCCAAAAGTAAAACTAAAGAATGTTTCAATGTGCTTTTTCTAATGTCTTTGAGAAGATCTGTATGAGTTCTGCTTTAAATAAGTATTAAATAATTCGGCCAGTAGGGGTACACAGTTAGTACTCATTGGAATACTGACTCTACTGACATATCAATCCACCAAACTCAACAAATATGCTGTCTATAAAAAAGCCCAGCAGTTTCATGTTATCAACTTCTGTGTATTTGTTGATGGAATCGGTGTTGTTCTACACCAAGTTATATATTTCATGACCTAAAACAAGGAACTGTATCTGCGATTCCCATTTTTGTAGAGGAGGGTCTGTTTTATGTGATGATTGTTGACAAGCTTTGTTTTTTTAAATGTAAACGGTTGGTGGTTTTATATTTAGAAATTAGAGAAACCGTGTGTACTAATGCAATCAGGAAATGAAGTTGCGAGGCAGAAATTGACTAACATCCCAATATATCTCATTTCATGACGACACGGGTGTCAGTTGATTTATTTCAAGCTCCTTTGACTATTTGCATTTGTACATACGGTTCAATAATTTCATAATTCATGAGAGATATATGGGAAAATATACAATCATTAGTCGACGATGAAAACACCATGGCATAGAGGGGAAAAAAAGAATATTTTCTAAGAAAATTTGAAAAGCAACTTGCCCTACAACTTGAAATTGAGCAACTACAATCCCATTAAAAAAAAAACCGGTACATTTTTGAAAATATTTTGACTTCCAGTTTTATAATTTTCTTTCCATTGGTTAAACAAAAAAGTTTCTATCAATACAGGAGCAACATCTATCCAATAAAATAAAACCGAGGAGGGGTGACATTTTTGAAAATTTTGAGTACCGATATTATTATTTTCTTTTTACTGGTGAAAATAGTATAAATCTGTTAATCTTTTATCTGCAAAGCTGACACACATTATGGTTTTTAAGATGCGATGTCTCAATAGGACAACATAAACCATGACCTAGAGTCTCGATGGGACAACTTAAACCATGACCTAGAGTCTCGATGGGACAACCTAAAAGGCATAGAGGCCAACTATTTGATTTAAAGTCGGTCTGCGTTGGTAGGATATCTATAAGTTTAACCTTCGTACACTCTAATTTCAGACAGTAAATACTTATAGCCTATTTAAAAACAATACAAGTAATATTTTACCAAGGTCTAGATATCTTAATAATTCTGGCAGCTGAGTATATCAAATTATACTTTACATATTATAAATACTTAACTAACTGTATGTCAACAAGGTAGCATACCATGTTCTAGTTTACATAGTAAGGTGAAAAGTCAATTACATTTATATTGTTAACAACAAGAATTATGTTGTTTTATGCCAGTTATGACAAATGAACAGATATATGACAATAGTAAAAACCATAATTCACTTAACTCAACTGTTCTCATGAATGATAAGAAGTTACAACAATATATCTACTACCGTATAAACCTATCGAAATCGTTTTAAATTATCATGTGTAATTAACCACTTATAATATGTATAAATTCTGCATTTTGATGTACATGTTTATGAATACATCAATATTTTACATTTTTATATATTAGTATAACTATTGAAAAAATAGTTATTGAATATTTTCTTACTTCTCAAATATGTGTCGTATATCCACTGAATAATTAATTCAACTTACTATTTAGATGTTTCTCAATCAATGGTATTAAAAATGGTTTTGATACAAAATTTCGAATATGGGAACAAGGACATTGCACAGCATTGAAACTGTTATTATTGGAGAACAAAGTCATACTCCTTTTATGAACATCAATTTCTACATAAATCAAAATGATATACTACTCCAAAACACATTATTGTCCATTTATTCGATGATGTAAACTTTTTCTGAATATTGTTACCTATTGTAGTCATCTTGTTAAATATCCTTATTAAATCTTTCAATAAGGTTTGTAAGAGCAGGTACAGAGTTTGTCATTTCTAGGCAATGTGTATGTTTGCAAAAAATAGAAAAAATGTATCTGTTTGTTTGCTGTTTTAAATCAAGGAGGAGGGGTTACTTTTCTTTCTAAAAATAATCACTGCTTAATACTATAGTAAAATACTTTATAATAGAATTTATCTTGACAGATTTTGACATGTATAACAGAACAAGTGTTACTAGTAAAGCAATGACTACAAACCCATCTGAGTTTCTCGTCGGTTTTTTATGGGACTCTTAGTTGTTCAATCATCAGTTTTCTGTGTATTTTCAGTTAACTGCTATTGGTTTTTTCACTATTTTCTTTTTGCCATAGTGTTGTCCGGTTTTGTTCGACTTATCAATTTTCCTCTAGTATACTCCCCATTTTCAATGTGCGAGAGAGTATACGTAAGGAATTCGTTTTGATAGTTTGTCCATAGGTGCTCGAATTTAGCCAACATGATTGGTGTAATTATTATGATTTCGGCGGAACTTGTAACACCTGTATGGAAATCTGTGTTTTAATATAAGCTATTGAGATACCTCTAAGTCAATGGATTTCGTTGTTGGACCGTCGGCCATAATACACTGCGATCGGCAGCCTTCTGATCTTTTATTTCTGTGATACGTAAAAGTTGTTCCCGCTTCTCTGAACACGTTGTTTCTAGTTAGTCTATAATTTCCATTGATGATGTAATCGCCATCTGTTAATTTTAATGCTGAAAAAGTAATAAAAATGTGTTCCTTTGAAAAGTTCGATTTAATGTTTAAAAAGTCAATAATGTTTAATATAATGCGGGAACATATTCAGACATCAACTAGCAGGGCGCACAATCGTTTTCAATTAATAAAAGAGTTGATTTTTAGTCAATGAATGAAAATAAGACTTTATAAATTTTGTGCATTTCGAAAGGCTTTTCTCGATGGCACTTCATCAGGAACATTCAGCATAAAAAATGACAGCCAAGGATGTATAACTCAATATTTAAATGAAACGGTTGGAATATTTCATTAAGTTAAATTTTAAATATTATCTACATTTAGTAATAAATGACACTGCTTCACTGATGTAAACTGCCTTAAGATAAAGCTGACTGCCGTATTTGATATTAATGAAAGGAGGCTAATAGACTTCAGCCAGTCTAGTCAATGGCGAGACAAAGGGTCTGTTTATCCAATAAATTACATATTTTTGATCACAGTAAGCTTTTTATGTGCATGTACCTCTGTGTCATAAGTCAAATATTTCGACACACTACAGAAGGCCAGTAAAGGTAAAACAAAGAAATGTAAATAAAACGACTATTATGTAATAATTTCGTATCAAGATTTTTCGCTTTACCGGATATGAATTCTTTTGATGTGCCTTACAATGTGTATCTAATATGAAAAATAAAGTTAAATGTTTTTATTGTGAACTTTAAATTGTTTTTAGGTACAAACACTTCATTTACGTGACAAATAACCCACGATATTGAAAATAACGTAATGGCTTAAATGAACCATAGCAACAAAATGGCCATGGTTACAATTTCATAATAGTTTTTATATGTACTTTTTGTGTAAAGGCACATGTAGTCACACAGTTACATTTTTGAGAATGAAGAAGCTACCGGACAATATCGATAACACAAATATCGCATTAGCTATAAACAGACAAAAGACGCAAAAAAAATAATAAAATAAAATAAATAAAAAATAACAATTTAAGATTTTCGTTCCTTCGAAGTGCTTTTCTGGATTTACCTTCAACAAAACTCTAAAACCTAAACACCTGAAAGCAAACCATGTATAAACACCTAATTTAAACGTGAGGCGCTATATGAACAAAAGGGACATAACAATGTAGCCAAATTCATCCAAGTTAACTTTGCCTGAGAAAGTTGGAACCCTAGTTTCTTAATATATTCTAATTACTGTATATCAAAGGAAATTTAAGGAATTTAAAAAAAAAGTTTGGTATAATTCATGTTAGTACCGAAGCATTGACTACTGAGCTGAAGCCAAAAATGAATGTAAACGTTATGAATTGAGATTACTTTATCACATGATATTCCCAATATTTCAGTCTGTTGATTTGATTTTTCTTTTTACATAGTCCCTTTGGGTCCCTTCCAATCGCTGTTTTATTTCAAATTACAAAGTCATTGATTGTTATTTAAAAAAAAACGACACGGTTGGTATCTCTGGTGAGTTTTTAAAAACCACTAGGTCTATGCCACTCTTGGTGGATGCTTCCCCCCCCCCCCCCCCCCGAGGGATACGGTCATTTTCTGTATATTTACTGCGTATAAAATGCTTAATTATTCAATGCACTAAACTTTTTTTAGATTTTTTTTCATTTTGTCGTATGTATCGTAAGTAAAAATATTCAAAGCAACAGTAAAGTGTGTGTCAGTGTTGTTAATAAATAGATTTACAAAAAGTTAGGGCCAACTTTCCCGGTATTTGTTTCATTCCAAAGGTCAAAATCAGAAAGTTGTTAAAACCTAATGGATTTCGAATACTTACGAGTCTATGTATTAATCATACTATACTTCAAAATATTATCAACAATTTTACTTATTTCCATAGAATCATAATGATATTCACCGCCACATATCGCTATTAAAGACAATATTGCAATTTTACATGTTTTGTTAAAATTTTGCATACAAATCGCATCATTAACTAAAATGAATTCATGTGTATCTGAAAGACAATAATTATATATAATTACTTCCAATATAAATTTTTAATTTTGGTTAAGAATATAAAAATAAGGAGATGTAGTATGATTGCCAATGAGACAACTATCCACCAAAGTTCAAATGAAGTGGATGTAAGCAATTATAGGCAACCGTACGGCCTTCAACAATGAGAAAACCCAATACCGTATAGTCGGTTATAAAATGACCAGACTATATACTTTTTTGGAATAATTGTGTTATGTTTCCAATTTGCAAAATAGGAAATATAATAATGGGACATATTTTGTCAAAATCTATCAAACATTGCAGTTTTGAGCAAGCATCTTTCGGTATTTACACTTTGGTCACATGTTCGAAAATTAGCGAAAATGTTGTTAAATCTTTTAAGTATGAATCATCTGAATTTACGATACTGAGAATTTTAGTAAAGGAACGTTTAGAAAAATGGCCCTGGTGTGAAATAACTTCAGGGAATTGGCCCTTCCTCTTTGAGAAGACGACAATAGCTTTAATGTCAATTGCATGAGTTTATGGGAAATAAAATAAACAAAAACAGAAGAAGAAATGCTGGAAAATGGATCCAGCAATTATGATGCCAGAAATTATAGTTTATTAATGGCAGACACGTTTATCATTTCAAGAAAGTTTAATCATGAGAAAGATCAGATATTAATGCTTTATATAAGACCTAAGGCGCCTTTTCAAGATTTACAATAGAAATCACCACATTGCTGTAGATTTTTAATGCTGTTGATATAGTAAATACAAGACAATTTATGTCCATCGGTTTACATGTTATCGTTTAAAAAAACACTATATAAGTCATCTAATGTTCCAACTTAGACACAAATTTCAGTGTTGAAAGATATGAAATCCGGAATATCTGTAAACCTCAATAATATTGGAACAGGTCTTAAATATCCACTCATTTAAGTTGTGATTTGTACTATTTATTCGGTGATAAAACATTCATAAATTGTTAATCGAACAAACACAAGGATTCAGACTATGTTTAAAAGATATTTTATAATTTATTGCTGTCTAAACGCGACTAAACACACCTTAAGAAAATATTGAGATATCTAAATCCTTTACAGAAAGTTGTTATTTGGTACTAAGTACACATCACTTGCCCTACATTTTTTTTGTCTGGAAAGAATTGACACAACAAGACCATTTGTAAACTTTAAATATTTGTCAAATGTTATATATTGCTTCCGTATCCGTTCAAGTATTTCTAAATTGTACAAATTAATTTACCTCGCCTGACGAGTCCAATATACTTACTTATGAGACATCTATACACAGATACAGTTAAAGAAATGGTTTCAATGGAACTTGTTAGCCTATTCTATTTTTAATGTTCCTTTTAATTAACAATTAAAGTATACGTTTTCTGGTCAACTGTCTAATATAATATATTATAATACAATAATCTGTATTTTCAAAAGGATCGTTGAATATGCACTACATTATTTTGATCATCTTACTACTAAGCGCTAAAGGTGAGTTTGAAGTCAAAACTGCACTTTATGGTTACGTTCTATACGTTTGTGGCTTTTACGATCTGTGATGTACGAATTATTGGCAGTAGTTATTGCTTTTAATACCTTCTTACTATATTTATATAGACTGCGCAAGATTGTGTCAACTATTGTTTGATCAGTCCAAAAACCAAAAGCTTATTAAACCGAAACATTTATTGAGACATTTACAACAATTGAAAAGTTACTGTAACATTGTAGACATTCTAATTACAGATCTCCGGTGGTTTTCAAAACTTGCTAAGACTCGGGTTACAAAAAATTATAGAACTTGACATATGGAGTTGAAGATCGTATATTAATGTATTCGTTTGTGTGTTGTTGGTTTTCTGTCTCATTTACATTTTTCAACTATCTTCTAAATAATATCGATAGAAATCAATTTACCCATTTTAAAATTATGACCATTCCCAAAGACCAAAGTTAGTCCTGGCACAGATAAAAACGTTAAATAGGGTAACTATATATTTTTTTCAAAGTCTGAGTTTTCATTTTTCGTAAATTCATATCAGCTGAAAATGTCTTCCAGTTTGATATCGGATTGCTGCTCAAAGGGAAGTTTCCCGACCAAGGGTTTCTACACATTGTGTATCAACACCAAGTAATATGAATGACGAAAGAATGAAGAATAATTTATCTTCGTATCTAAGGAACCTGATAACATTTCGAGCAATACTAGACATAAATCTAGCTTTCTTGCACTAGAAATGATAGATTAACAACAATAAGGTGGTATAGGTGATAATTGAAGAGCATCTGAAACACTAAAGAAATTTATAATGTTAGAGAGGAAAAATGGAATATTCTAAATGTAAGTGACAAGCGAGGAATTTCCGTCGTATTCCAATAATTAAATACCTAAATCATGTCTTATTCACCGACTTTTGTTTCATCAAAATTATTTCAACGACCTCATATATATTGCTGCACAATTTATCACTCACTTTTCATATGTATAATATTGACTTAGTCAGTAGACTACCTAACAGTTCACACTAAGTAAAGAAATTATTGAAACAAGTTAAAGTCATTACTTAAAATTGTCTAGCATCATCACAACTTGGTTGATATTCAGTGATGATGAAGCTTTTACGACTCTCTAGATATCTTGTTATCACGACCGTTTGATCTTGTCGGTAAGTGTAGCTCGATTGTTTGTTAATGAAAACCTTTCAATAACTTTAAATGATAAGAACAGTAATGATGGCACTGATCTTTTAACATATTTACATCTATAATATTTTGTTGGTTATTTACTGATATATTTTTCTCATATACACATACATCCACAACACGTTTTCTTCTCCAAAAATAAGGATCGTTGTCACATCAAGAGTTAAGATATATTAGAGAGTTGAAGTCTTGTAGTAAATCCCCGCAAAACAACACCCAATCATTGGCATAAAAAGTGAGCTTTAAACCTACTGATTGATATTTTAGTCTTAGATGCATGCATTTTTTATTAGTTGTTATTGGCTTTGAACT